TCAAGCAACTACAAATCACAGGAAATGCTAAGTAATGTAATTTGTAATGTAGAACTGGCAAAAAATAAATGGCCACGATGTCTATATTACTGGTTTTAACTGGGACACCATGAATAAGTGCTTCTACTTGCTTGCACCTTAAAAAGTCTTTGTGGTCATCCTTACAATCATTGTGGGGTGAACTCTCTACCACTCAAAGTAAATCCACCTTCCCCCAAGTGCAGCAGTTAGTCTTTTTAGTCTTTCCCATAGCTTTATTTTATCCAGACCACTGAGAAGCTCCACATATTTTTCTTCAGCTATAATTCATTAGAAATTCAAGTCACATCACCAGCATCTGTGAAACAATTACTGCATCTAGGACTGACTCTGCAGTCTAATCCATCATAATTGACTGGCCTCTTTGAAGATGCTGTGATGCGTGACTTAAATATAGCACATTACTGTGCAAATGGATCAGCATCTCATCCCACCAATATGTATTCAAGTTAGAATTCAGACTACCCCTTGACTTTTTCAGATGCAATCAATGTATGTGCATTTATTTCTTGCTGCACACAGGGCACAAACTGGAAACTAGGCACTGAATGAGCGCCTCAGATTTTTGTTGTTTGTTTTATGGCATATTCCTGCCACCTCTTACTGTGGAAGGTGTTGTTACAAGCACAACACACATTTCTGCAGCAACAGAAGTTGTGTCATTTTCTTTCACAGAAAATCTTCCTTTAGTTTTAGCCAGTTCTGGAGGTTCACAGCTTATTTTCTATAGCATCTGTATCTGGGGAGTTTGTGAATGCAAAGCAGCTCAGATGAATGAATGGATAAATACATCCACTGCAGGGGAGAACAATCTTGTGCAAAACTGGGCAAGATTCCGAGGAGAAAAAGTAGGTGGGGGAATAGCTGTGGTAGAGCATTCATGGACCTAAAAGGACCAAAAGGTGGGATGTCAGATGGGTTGTTTCCCCTTCTGGGGTTAGCTGAGATAGACATTTATCTCCTCAGAGGTTTTTTTTCCCCGGCAGAAATACACGTCCTCAGATCAAAGCCTCAGCTGACTTGTGCTTAACTGATTATCAGTATGAGACTTGGGAAAGCAGAAGTCAGATACCCAGAAGCTTGTTGATGGCTCACTGGATTGTTCCTGGAGCATTGCCACAGCCTCCATCCTGCTGGCACCCTTCTGCCACTGCCAGATGACACAGAGGTCTAAATTGCTCCTAGACAAGAAACCCCCCTAGCACTTTCTCGACAGGAAGTGAATTTGCCCATATGTCTTGCCAAACTCCAGTTTGGTAAGTTGTACTTTCTGCTTACACACTCCTGCTCCTGTTGTCTGTGTACGGTAGCTGGCTTCACTTGTGGCTATGTATCCTTATGTGCTGTTGTGCAGTTACATCTCTCCTCTGAAGCTCATGCATCTAGCAAAGGGTTCGAAATAATGAACTTCCAACATGTGAAAAAGCTCCTGAAGTTAGGGGTTTCGGTTTTTTCCTATTTCACTAATGAATGAAAATTTCAGAAGAGGTACGAGTGGTTATTACTTAGGTAAGGACACTCATGCATGACATAGCCAGAAATCTCAATTTCTGTTCTAAAACCTTAAATCTTCTGGACTTGCATACATGCAAAATTGTTTCTGATTAAGCCTATGACAAAGCTTTCTCTTCTTTAATATTGGAACAAGATGTGCAAGCAGTTACAATGACACTTAACACCAGGATTTGATATTATGGGATGTGATTCCCTGGCCTAGCTAAAGACCAGTTGTTCCAGCTGTGCCCTGGTTAACACCTGTAAGCAGCTGCCAGTGTCCCTAGAGAAGAAAAGATGTGCAGTGAACTCAGATGGCTAAGGAGTGATGTAACACATCAAAGCTCCTTATTAGTGAGACAGTTCTATTATTGCTGGGATAAAAAGTTGAACACGTGGTATAGTATAAGGATTTCCTATATGTTTTGCGCTTTAGGTACTATAGTTTATACACAGAGAAATAAATTGAGCTTCTACATGGAAACTTACAGGAGAGACAAGACCAGGACAGATTCAAGAGAGATTGTATTCATACCCAAGGTGAACTGAGGCTCAAAACCCCACAACATCTCCTAAGGATTTGCTCTGCTGCTTACCAGCATCACTGCTGTGCTGCCCCACTGCATATGTGGTGGGTGAGGAAAACACAGTGAAACTTCAAGGCAGGTGTAAAGGAGGCCCCAGAAGAACAAGGACAATCTGTTGTTAGCTGGGTTCTATGGCTTACAATAGGGTCCTTTTGCACTACATTCAACTGTCTCTTCATTTGGATAGTGTATTTATATAGGGCATTAGCAGTGCTTTGGAAACAGCTTGAGTAAGGATGCCATACCTTGCCTGACCCTTGAAGATTTTTAGTTAAAGCTATATTTCTTCCTAAAATATACATATTGCTTTCTTACTGTAGCTTTAAAGAGCAGTTAAGGGGTTAATCTAGAAACTCCTCAATGACAGTGTGACTGTATTCTGCAGAAGATCATATTACATGAATATAATTGTCTTTTCTGGCATTTAGATCTACAATAATCTGTCAAACAAAAGAAAATGTGGGATGGATAAAATTTGTTACCTAATTTATAGCTAATTTATCCTTAATTTACAGGGAAAATGGTGAGTAGCAAATATAGATATAAGCAGACATACAGGAATGAAGAGCATGGGATTTGTGACATATGAGGATTAATAATTCATTAAATCTTATCCAAGCCAGACACTTCACAATTCATGCATTTTTAAAATCAACTAGTGCTAAATCCCCCTCAATTTACTGACACAATTTCCTGCATTTCAGTGATACAGTGGTCTAATTGCAAAAGCACTTGAATTAGTTTGATTTTTGATCTTAATATAGAGGGTATGATAGTAAAGCTAAACAGTGATTTCCCTTCCTACATGACATAACCATCAACAAGACTGGATACTGCGTAATTTCTACCTAGATGTGAAAAATTGTACTATTTTAACAATTGCATAAAATCAAGGGAAGTAAAAATTAAATGCCTCTACAATATGAGTGGAAAAAACCAATTATGCAAAGGAAATTAATTCAGGATTATAAAATATGAGTAAACAAAAATTATAATGTCACATCACACAGATCTCCAGTTCCCATTTTTTGTGATTTATGTTCCATACAAAGTTTGTACCTAATTGTACTATGTAGCACTTCTAGGAAAACACCACAGCTCCTCAAATAGCTGCTTTAAATGCCACCATCATATGACCAGATTAGAAATGTCTCCCGAAAGGTCAAACTTCAGAACTAAGCTGAATTTAAGAAACAAAAGCACCCTTCCATTGCAATAGCCAGATCATTCAAGATGAGGCTGGCATCTATGTCTGTTCTTGCCAGTTGTGAGCCCTTTTCCGTAGTTTAGGTTTGGAGTATGGTGGATCCAGGTGGTTTGTATGGACAGGCCATTCCACAGAGCTGCACTGCTCCCCAGGTTAGCTTGTTTGGTACTACCGTGGGTGCTGGGATGCCAACATACTCTAAAAGCAGTATTACTCAATTTCTTGAGTGCCACCCTGACTATTAGATGTCTTTAACAAATACAGGGAAGATGAACTAAAGCACCCTTTCATCTTTGCTGGTTTTTTGAGAACGTTTGTATCTGATAATAGTGATAGGAAGGCTGCAGGAATGGGAGTTATAGCCTTAAATCTGGGGGGTGATTAAATGAGTGTATGTTGAGTGAGATGCTTTTGCGTAATGAGAAACCTCTCTGTGAAGTCTAGACCAGCAAAATTATTTCAAATTGTGACCCACACAGGACATCATTCGGTAATTCCCCAGTGCCTGTGAATTCAACACTGGCAAAGACGTTGGGGTTGGAAAACAGAACAAAGCCTATTTTTCTTCATCTCAGTCTGTTATGCTAGGCTAGGTGTGTTGAGCAGTGTTAATCAGGTGCACAACTGGTGCTTTGACTCATTTTTGATGTCCAGAGAAAGGATGTTATTTGAAGGATGATTTTCCTCTCAGTACTTCAGCTACTCCATGTGTCAAATGGCGATGGTGATATGGGCTACTGATTAAAATCAGCTCCCTGAGAGCAACAGCTGACTTCTCTTGCTGTTCTGGCCAAGTTCTGTAGTGCAGCCTCTTGTGAGCATGCCAGGATAAGCAAGCGTTTGTGGCTGAACTGTTCCTCAAGGCACACTTGATGTTATCAACCTGCTGTTTAGGGAGGGTTACCAAGAGGTCACTGTCATCATTATCTTCCAGTTTCTGTGATCTTTGTCCATTTGGCTTCAGACCTGGATATAGCACGGATTTCTTGGGTTGATGACTTCCTAGCACCAGTCAAAGGTCAGTTATCCATGATCATTTCATCACAGCTTTTGGCACAGTGAAAACCACTGGATGGAAAAAAAACCCAGCTAGCCAGTGCTAGCTAAAAATTTCAAGGTTTCATCGTGTTGGGCCAGTAACATTAGAAAACAGACATATGAGCAGAAAAACTCATAGAAGAGAATAAAACCTTGTGGGCTGCAGCATCCCCAGAAAACCTATTTACACAGCTCTGGTTTCCATTATCCTTTGAACTTCAAATAGGAAATCCTGGTGGCCTCACAATTCTCTTGAAAACAGAATTTTTTACAAAATGCAATTTTCTTAAATTTCTTCTTAAAAGTTGAAGGTCATACTGAGAGGAGAGCGAGGAGAATGCAAAAAGAAGGTTGATGGCTCCAAGGTGTACTCTGACTGGTGCTCCTGTGTGTCCAGATGGTAAAGCAGAGCTTTCAGCCCCTTCACTGGCCTCACTATGGTAGCTTTTACACCCCTCTACACATTCCTCCTCTGTTTTTCTCATGGCCCTGCCACACTCGGGCTGGGATGTTGTAGTGAACTCAACCTTTGGCTGCTGTGTTTTTAGAAATGAGAGGCAGCCAAAGAGGCAGCTCCCACACTACACAGTGTACACTGTGTGTGCCAGTGTAGCCAAGGGGCAGGTTCTGGGGCAGTGAGCCACGAGATGCCCTGTGTCCCTGTGAGAGGTGCTGCCTGCCCCTGTGTGTCCTGCTGGGCCTTCACTTCCACATAGTGGAGCTGGAGGAATTGAGCCAATACAAGGGTACTTGTTTTGGAAACATCTTACACTGTTTTAATTGTTGTATGATTTAATTTCAAAATGTGCTTTCATTACTACTTGTGATTTAGTTTTATTCCTCCTAATTTGTGCTTTTTGCGACTTACAAACCAGACCAATTGCTCATAAACACATGGGAAAAATAGGTTTGTCCCTGCCTTATTCCTTGGCTTCAGGGCAACACCAGCCAGACCTGTACCAGTCCATTCCAACCTGTTTTCAAAAGTTTCTGATGATGAGGGTTGCATAACACAGTCACATGCAATAATTAATCTAACTTATTAGAAAGCTTCTACCATTTAAAACATAACCTTAGATTAGCTCATCCCATCTGCCACAGATATGCAGAGCAGGGTATTTTTTCCTTCTGTGCTATGACTTCTTTCTCCTCATGTAACTGAAGACTGTCATTAATGCTCCCCTCTTAGACAGAATAAACAACCCAGTTCATGACATCCAATCATGGATGGATCTATATCCATAGCCTTTGTTCCCTGACCAAATGCATGGAGGTCACATAGTAAATCCACAGTCTGCTCTCTGGAGACATTATGCGCATGCTACACTCTGCTAGATTTTCTCCAAATTCAGATGCTTGATATACAAGCAGCTATAACATGTATCTGTATAATCTTCCAAAAACCTGTAATGAATTACCTTGACTTTTCCCTCAGTAACTAAGCAGTTTTATTCCCTCCTGTATCAATCATGCTGAAATCAACATAACAGGCTTGTTACTTCTAGCAGAGCTTTACATTAAATGTTATTTTCTTAAAACTTTCAGTGTGCTTAAGTCTTCAAGCTACTCGCACAAACATCTCTTCTGACTTCCACTGTTGCTGAGGCACCACAGAAGATAAGAATCTAATGCATTTTTAGAGGTCTATGAGAAGATGCTCCTGGAGCTATGGTTGCCATTCAGCTTTTCTGCATTTGTGTGTGGTCTTCAGCAGCAGTTTTTCATGTGGGTTATTGCAATCTACACAGAACAAAAAAATCCAGGAAAAAAAAAATCCAGAAATCCAGATCTGAGAAAACAGTTATAGTTTACCTCTTCAGATGTACCGGAGATGAAAGACAAGGTGGTTTTTATGACCAGAGCCAGCTGACAACCTAAGAGTAGTTGAGGTTTAATCCTGATAAATGCAAAACTCTGGGAGAGAAACAAAACATGAGCCGGTGCTGCCATACCACAGTTCCAAGCACACAAGAGAGCTTGGGCATGAGCTCGACTGTTGTCATCCCATTCAGCTTTAGATTAGAGATGAAGATGTGGGACTATGTTTTCTTTTTGAATACTCAACATACAAGCTTGGGAAGAACTTGGTCATTGATCTTCTTAGATAAAAGGGCTCAAGACCCAAATAAATTGTCGGTCAAGAGACACCTAATTCACATCATGGCAGCATTTATTGAGGAGTTATAGCCTAGCTTCTTAAGCCTGGCTTGAAAAACAAACTTTCTGTAGTTACCATCTTGGCTACAGTATTTTTCTTCCCTTTCTAATTTTAGTTTTATATCCCTTGCCAATAGAGTTTTTAGGTTTTTCTTTAGAAGGCAGATGTTAATCTTGTTCTGAGGATCAAGTGATAGGCTCCAGTTCATGCTTCCACACAACTGAGGTTATTTCTCAGTTACTTCTTACCTTGTTCTATCCCCACTTACAAAGGATGTGGGGTTTATGTATAGCCATTTAAAACTTCTTAGTATTTAAGCATAAATGGGCAGTATATGGAGAGTTCTATGTATTTTGTGACAAGAAACATTTAAGAAAACTACTAGAGAAAAAAGATTATTAAAAGGATACAGGCTTTTTCCTTTCTGTGAAATACACTTTGGTATTCCAGGGAAACTGGAGACTGGTAACAAGTCTAGATTTTGTGAATGGAATGATTGCTTAAAAACACAGCTCTATCATGAAAGTTTCTCCCTTTTACCAGATTAAAAGACGGGATAAAAACTTGGAATTGCTGTGCTGAGAAACAGTTGGAACCCCAGAACGAGCTGGCATTCCTGGTTTCCTTTAATTTCCAGTAATTCAAAGGAACATTGTTTCTCCTGTTTAAATTTTTCCCTTTGTGGCGGGATGCAACATGAAGAGGCAGAAAATTCATTGCTGCCAAGCTAAAAGGAGCCAGGGGAACTGGCAGATTGTGATTTAACTCTCACTAAGACTTTTAGACTCCCACAGCTGACCCTTGGAAGAGCAGCATTTGAGCAGTCCTGAAGGGAACTGCAACACTTCTCTCTCTGTCCTTCCTTTTCAAATATTTTCAAAGCTTTGAAAACAGTCGGTTGTTCTTCGTTCTGGCAATTTGCCACTTGCTGCCTGCTCACATCAGTTCATAGTCTTCTGAGGTATAGTGGCCTGCATGGATTTGAGAGAGTTTGAAACTCTAATGAAAGACCTTTGATATTTTGGGATGTTTAAGAGACATACAGAAATGGGTGAGTTAAAAGAGCTGTTGTCAGCTTCTGCAAAGCCCACTTCATATTCTCAGTCACAAGATACCATTTCACTAATTGATTATTGTCTGTCCACAGCACAGCCATGCTCTTAGTGCACAAAGAAGCAGTGTAGATGAAAAGCTCACCATTGTAAAGTACATACTCAACTGGATTTAGAAAGCTGGGAACTCCAGACAAATCTAAGATATGAGACTACTTTGAATTAAACTCATAAATCATAGCTGAGTCTTTTTTCAGCTTAAGTAAACATCTTTCCTACAGACGATGAAAGTTAATGGAAGCTTTTTAAAAGCCTCTCTTTAGTCTTCCTAAGAGGACCAAAATGGGGGAGCTCTCCTCAGAAGGGTCAGGTGACTTTTCATTCTTTAAATCCACACCTCCAGCAATGAGGACTTGATCCCACAAGCTCTGCAGAACTGCTCCTACCTGGCAAGGTTATGCAGAATGTTTGCCAGGCTAATCCTTCAGCCAGCAGCCTCATAGCTGTGGTGGTCGTGAGCTCAGGAATGCAGGTGTAGGAAAGAATGCCCTGCATTGTGTGCTTGAGTTCAGTAAGCGTGTGCATGTCCTCATATGCCAAGTGGATTGCACAGCACAGTCCCTGCTTTTCTTGCCAACACAAACATATGATCCCCCTGTCACCCTTGCTCCCCCAAAACACATCAGGGAGAGAACAGTTTTGGGGGCAAAGCAAGGAAGATAGGCATTAAGCTCTGACAGCACAGTCTGTGATTGGTAGTGTTACTTCTATACAGCCTCTGGGGGCAATGAACAGCTGCTTTTTCTTAAAAAAAAAAAAGGCAGGGGGAGTTGGGAGAAGAGAAGAGACGTCTATCAGGATACTCAATGTCTAATGCAGTCAGTTAAACTAATATGCATGCCATTGTCAAATGTATGTAAGGGGACTTTATCTTTGGTTTGTCAACCTTTGAGAATCAGCCAAGTTGATTATGAGAAAATGAGCTAATAATTTTACTGTGGGAAGGGTGGGGGACAAGGATAAATGGCAAAGTTTATCTGCTTATTACACTCCCCAAAAAACAAAGCTTCCTAACAGCCTCATCTAGCTCACAAAAGCTTTCTGCAGAAATGGTGTTTAATAAATCAGATGTGTGCCTCAGCTTCCCAACCCCAAATTGTCATAAAAGTCTATGATACATATTGGTGATTAAGCGAATGTTCTGAAAAGTTAGTTGCACCTAAAATTAGAACTGAAAACAAGATGGGAAAAAGCTGTTTGGACTCTATGTTTAGGATGCTGATGGCTCCAAGCCCATCCTATTTCCTACCTTTTCTCTCTAGAACTTTTAAAGTCCTGTCACTGATAGGTCCCAACAAAACCATGCTCTTCTCTTCAAGCAGAGGTGACAGCTGAGCATGCAGTGTATACAGGGCATGTGTAAGCATCATCCAGCAGAGTCCCAGTCCCATCCTGGAAATTGATGGGGATCCCAGCAGCCCCCAAACTCCCTCTGTTCCTGGAGCTGTGGAGGCAGAGATGTCTTCAGAGTTGTTAGATGTTTTCTCATACACTGCAGTATAACCAGGCACCACAAAAGTCTTAGTCTGCACTTCAGTTTTTCTGTCTTCATTGAAAAAATTCAGTGTCTTGAAAACAGCTGGTACTACTTAATGATCTTTTGGTAACTAAGGCTGATTCCTTTTATGCTCTCTGAAGATTAAATTTTGCTCTGGACTCTATTGCCTGAAGGAGGCTATTGTAAAACAAGATACTCGGAAATCAGCAAAAAGATGTTTGAGCTAAAACAGAAACTAAAACATTTTAACTCTAATGGTGCTGCTGCCAACGAGTTAGAGAAAAGATCCTGAGATTATGCTAAAACCAGTCTGGTATTGTGGGCTAATGGCTGAGGAACTATAAAAACGTGCACAGCCTTGTAAATGAATCAAACCTCCATGATACAGGAGATGCTTCTTTGATGTTCAGTTTTTAATCCTGACTTGGTCAAACAGGCTATCGTGGAAATAACTAGATGCTGGTAAGCACTGCTGTTGCTTTAACTTAAAGGAGGGAAATACAGAGCTCAAGGATGTGCAGTCCCCTTTACAAGAGACTCATTGGGAACAGCCTGTGTCTACCAAATACTGAAAAGCTCAATCAGGATTCCAAAGGAAATTGCTATAAAAGATTAAATATGTGGTCAGCAGTAATAACTCTCCTTCTGTTTGTTGTGTCAGATTGTATTTGTGTTGGAGGAAAGATTGGTGTACTTCAGATAGCAACAAGGAAGAGAGGGAGAGAGATTTTGAGAGAGATTTTCCATTACAAGGTTAACAAGAGGAAGTGGATGAGGATGAGGGAATGTGCTCCACAGAACTGCAGGAAGCTGAAGTTGGAGGAAGGCAGTGCAGCAGCTAGAGACTGTGGCTAAAAGTTTTGATGACTAAAAACACTGACAGTTTTTAGAGATGAAATTACCAAGGACTGCCAACCAACAGTCTTCAAGTCTCCATTGTTGGGATGCCCATTCAGCACCTGTGAGGATTGGCCTGTGAACCGTGGAATCGGCGGGCAGTGACCATTTGTTGGGTGTTAATTACAGAGGCTTCCCCCTGGATCTGTCTCACTAGGAACCTGCTGCAGAATTTGCAGACTTATTTGAAAGTTTAAGCTTATGCTTTGCAACTCTGACACTCGTTTCCAAGTAACTGCAATAACTTTGATTCAAATCAGTCTTTATAGGAATTGGCCCTTGCGACCTTCTGACCCCTCCCAGTGCAGAGGAGCTCCGTAGCCTTCCCAGTTCTGCCAACTTGCACTGGAGTGCTCTCCTCCCATTTAGCCTGGCACTAGCACACACACTCGTTTCCCACACACCTCTGGGATTTGTGAAGCCACTTCTTTGAGACTGTCTCTGGAGAGCCCTCTCACTCCCCACAGAGAGTTACTGAATGATGCTGGGCCTTGCACGTGACACCACTTCCTTTACGCTCTAGCTGGAACAGGGCAGCAGCCTTTGCCAGTTATTTTGCTCATATAGGTCACAACCACAGATGCAGACTCACAGGGAACTGCAGTAACCAATACATAACAATGCACAAAATGCAGGAAAAACATTTTGTAAGCACTTTCAGCATCATTGTTCCCTCTTTCTGTTAAAGCTACAGATATATATTTGTAATACACAGAACCAGGTTAATTAAGGCAAGCACTGCCAACATTATCTTTCAGGAGTAGATTTGCACTTCACACATGAAGACACGAACAGTAACTAGTGCATGTTATGCTGAGCATAACTGAGTAACTCTCCCTGAATGATTCAGGGTGACCAGATACTGTAAAACAGTGGCCACAGGCCATGAACTGTGTACAGCATGGCATGGCAAAACATTGAGCACATAGGACGGGATATAGGGTGTTTTTTTTCCGACCAGAAGCTCAGGGATGAACTATTCATAGGCATTGTAAAACAAACAGCTGAGCTTTTAAGTTTTAAATGAACTTGCTTGATGGGAGACTTATTCAGTTTTCAATAAGCTGACTGAAAAGAGGAGCAGCTGTAACAATCTGTTACTAACTTTTGTTCTCAGTTGTGGCCTTATCATAATTTAGATTTACTTTTAGGTACAACAGCTTACATAACTGCAAAATTATTTGTTACTTTATTAATACTTTCATTTCTGTGAACTGTACATAGAAAAGAGGACCATAAACTTTTTCACCCACTGCAATGGATGGAAAAACTGAAGTTGACTAGGCCAGAGATCAGATTTTTACACAGAAACACTACAGATTCTAGTAACTTAAAGGTGGTATTTTGTATATTGGTCATGCCCCAGTAACTCCCACAGTGCTCTTCTTTTGTAATACTGAGGGCTTCATGGCTTGACAATGTTTATTTGCATTCTTTGTATTTTTTTGCTTGCAGGGAAGCTCTTCTATAAGCCGTTTTAAAAAATAACAAGAAAACCCTCTTTATATTTAAACTCTAGTTTCTGTATTTCTCATCTTCTCATCTCATTTTAATCTTCTCTTTTCTCAAAGGGAAAAAAAGAGATTTATAGTATCTGAATGATGAAGACAGATAATATTAAGTACCTGACACCTCAAAAGAGCAAAGATCATCAGCTTTTTTTTGCAATGTTATAGTTAGACAGTGCATTTGACAAAGTTAGGCTGTCAAATAGATCATCTGCTGGGAAGATTTACAGTTCCCTCACTTGTTATCTCTACTCATGACACAAAGCTTAGTTAAAGTCAAGTCACCCCAGATGAAAAATGAGAAATTGTGCTTCTTCACTTAAAATCTTTGGTGATTTTAAAATGCACAAAGTAGATGCATTAGTTTCCTGCCCTGTACGACGTTGATCCTGAATGTGTATTTAGCATAGGAGCATTTGAGGCAGAGCTCCAGAAAGTCAAAATGACAGCGCAAAGTCTTAGATAAGAGAGATATTCCTGAAACATTCCCCATACCCAGGAAGGTATGTAAATTCATACCCCATCTGACTGGTCCATGTTCAGTGTCTGTCTTACAAGCAGAATTGAAAAATGCTTTACAGTGGAAAACTGAATCAGTTGGATGGGCAGAAATCTTTCTTTCCTCAGTTCTACAGTCCTCACAGCTGGTTGCTTTTATTGTCTTCATTTCAACTTTAGCTGTATTTGAGAGCTGCTGAGGAAGAAAGAAAATCTAGGAAAATCTCGTGCTTACACTTCTTACTTCTTGTCTCCCAGAAAAAGTCCTATATTCCTTTTTCTTTTATTCCTTCCTATTGTAAAACAGCGCTAAGAACTTTCTTGACTATCTTTAGGGATGAGGGAGGGGATTATTTCCTAGCTTTAAATGGCATTCTAGCAATTCAGAAAAACAAGCTTTTTCATAATGAAAAACAGTATCATCACCTTTTAGGAGGTGACACAAGTGGTATAGATGTTTGGTTTTGCGAGGGTAAACCCTGGTTCTGTAGTTCAGACATAAAATAGGAATCTTTCTAGATATGAGAAGGAGTTTCAGAAATTCATAATCCTTGTCACAGTTGACCTTTTCTCTCCTTGATCTTATGGGTGTTTTCTCAAGAAGTAGAAATTCTTGTTCTTGCTGTGCATAGAGGAGATAAGGACAGTATCACAGAGGGAGGCACTTGTGTTTTCTTAAAAGGTAAATTAATATTTAAAGAGGGAGGAAAAGAACAGACAGAAACGGTTTGAGGGGGATACTTTGCCCAGGGGAAGAAGAAAATATGTAGTATCACAGCTGAGACCAATTACACTGAAAAGACTAAGAAAAAGAAACCGCAACGGTGAAGAGGGGAATCCAAATCTTGCAGAAGTAAAATGCACCCACCAAGGGTAAGAATGGAAGATTAGCATTCAGATTTGAAACTGAATTGATTTGCTGACTTTCTAGAGAAATAAAGAGGGAGGGTGGGTTTTCTGGGTTTTTCCTTGTTTGATTTTTTAAGTCATCATCTGATTAAATACTTAGTTAATAGCCAAGAAAAGAAAAATCCAAATACAAGAGATCTTCCTGTGCCTCGGTAAAGAAAACTGTCAGAGTCACTAACACATTGATTGAATCCTGTTTTGCAGGTAATGACTTGAAACTCCCTGCTGAAAACAATGGTGATTCACAATGATGTATGACAGATGCAATGTGACTGTGAGATGGCACAGTTATTCCAGTTTCAGGGACGACAGGAGTTTATCTAAGGATAAAAGAGGGAGGGATTCCCTGTGGAAGGTCAGTGTAGGGGAGAGATCCAGGGAGAGACCAGCTGTCTGTGCTTACTAACCTCTAATCCAGGAGGATGGCTTTGTTTTACTGCTGCAATACAGAACAGGTTAGATTGAATGCCGATGAGGTACCAGCCATCTAGGAAATAATTTTCTGTTTCGCTGATTTTGGTTCTCGTTGTTTTGTTTTCCCTTCCCTTTGTATGTAAAACAAGCGTTGAAGGAGTACCTGAGCAGAAGTCGCTCTGCTCCTCTCGAAGAGCAGCCTTGCAAGCAATGAGGCTCTGCTGGCCCAAGGGCTCGCCAGCACTTCACAAAGGGTCCTGATAGTACATAAATTCAGATCTTCACCAGATAGATAATTTTATGTGGTCTGCAGAAGAATAGGCCTTTGTCAGAAGGAGATGATAGCTGACTTTGTTTGGGAGGGGGAGGGGAGGGACGAGTATTCTCATTTTCTGTGTATTTCTATTCAGCTGCTGCAGAAACATCCCCATCTGCTTTGAATCTACATTTTAATTCCAAACCCTAGCAAGAAATACAACAAGCTGGCTTGTTCTGCCTGGCAAAGTACACACATAGCAAGTTGCTGAGCTGAAAGCTGTTCCAAAATCTAGGAATGTAACAAATTTAAAAGCCAAGTTACCTGGCCTTGTGCTCTGTTTAACCATGATGATGATAATCAAAAATAGATTTCATTTGTCTGTCCTTTAAATGTTGTCATTTATTCAAAAGTATGTGCTTTCTTTCCTATCTGCTCAGTCAGGAAAATTTGGTTTAAGGATATGAAATAGATTTGGGTTTTCGTTTCTCTGGTGAAAGCAAGCAATGGAGCTTTGCCTGCTTTTCCTGCATGATGAAAGGGTAGTGAAACAGGAGGTGCAAATTAAATTGTTTATTTCTGTCATTTATAACACTTATATCTGAATTCACATAGTATGATGTGACCTTTTCTAGTAGCAGTGAATCCTTGCATGGTTTACATATATGTGTGTGTGTGTATGTATATGTGTATATGTATATGAAAGCTCAAGGGCTCATTTTAGCTTTAGGATCTCCACAGCTGGAGTTTCTGCTTGTCTGTCCTAGAGCATAAAATTGTATCCCTGTCAACAGGTGCCAGAAACAGTAGCAGCTGGAGCCAGAGTTGAACAACATTTCTGTTCTGATCTGATAAACTTGCAAATAAACCATGTGTAACTTCTGTTATGGACACCCAGTAAAAGCTACTTGTGATGCAGACCTTAAGTTAACTTCTGTTCCTGTTTCACAAGCTACAACGGGATAGTGAGTGATATACAGACTAACTCACAGGATGATAAGCAGAACTGCCTCTAAATTGTTCTTGGCTGAAAGGAATCATAGAAATGCAAGTTATTTGCATGGCACTCTAGAGAGAGTACAATTTAAAGGATTTTTTTTTTGTGATGGAAAGAAAATGGACAACTGTTCAAGCAAACTTAAGCTGTTGTGAGAAAAAAAGAAAAGGAGAAGAGGGTTTACTGTGAGCTGAAAGGGAAAAAGAATTGAAAGATGCCCATTCAAATGCTTCATCTGCCTGCTAATTTTAATTAAGACTCCTCCTTTGTAACTATGTAACAGAGCCTGAGTCCTTAAAAAAAATTGTCACTAGGCAGATTTCTGAGAGTCTCCTGATTGAATCATCATTTTAATCTCTTCACTGCCACCCCCCTCTCCTGAGCAGAAGCTACCCGCTGCACTATGTGACAATTAACATGCTGAGAAATGCTACTGCACTTCTCAGAGTTTCAGTGATGCAAAACACTGTTCTGCTGTGTGACAAAAACACCAAAACCTTTAAAATATCTCTCTGGTGAAATATCATGGGTTTTTAAAACTTGGATGCACATTTTGTTTTTACTAGGAAAAAGTACTCTTCCTAAACTTTTTCTGAAGAAAAAAGCATTCCTTTCCTTCAATTCTTCTCCAGCCCTCCCCAAAATCCTCTCCAAGTTTGGAGAACGTGACAAATACTTTGCAACGAATTACCAACCAGTGACAAAACCTGCTCTCTCAGTTTGTGTGTCTTTGCTCAGTGTACTTTTACTTTCTCAAATCCTCACTCATCCTTGCCATACTGCTTCATGTTTCACCTCTCTTCCCTAACAAAGCACTAGAAGCAGCTTCTTGCTGGTGTGGTCCCAGCCTGCTCTTCTGCACTGTCTCATTCCAATCCCACAGGAGCCAAGCCAGGTTTATTGAACTGGATCACTGCTCCCAGTTGGACACCACCCACTGTACCAGTCTCCCCTCTTAGCAACACAAAAAAAAGCGGGGTAATAGTAAAAGCAAACTAATCCTTTCTGCATCTTCTCTCTGTCACCTTTGTAAGTCACAGGTCAGTCCAAGCAAGGTCTGCCCACAGGGATATGCTAATTGAGATGCTGTTTGGCAGCAGACTCTGTCCTTGCACAAATGTTCACAAAATGAGTAATTAAAAACAAGCCTCTTGCCCTACTTCCTTCCCTTGACAGGCTAACATAGGCACGTTTTTCCTTTCATTATTTCATGGGCAACAATAATGAACACAGCAAAGAAAGAACACTTCAGGAACAGTTTTGTCTGAAGAAAATACTAAGGGTGGTTGTCCCTTTCTACTCTCACACCCCAATGGCTGCCAGCATTGCTGGACGGGTACAGTCCAGGAAGTTGTCAAGAGGGGGTGTATAGGGAAAGGTGAGTCACTCCAGGCAATTCTTAATTATAGTGAAAAAGGAGGAAATATGCTGAAGCTGAAGAATTCTGTTTCTGTTATTCCAAAAGTATTTTGGGTAT